ATATATATATATATTTATATATACACATTTATAATCTCCATTTTGTAAGAAAGAAAAGCCAAGAGAATATTCTATAAAACAATTCTCATACATATTAAAGATGACAAGGTTTATTTTGAATGATTTTTAATATTATTTAGAAATATTTTATATTAAGTGAAGTTTACTACATCTGCATTAAAATGATGTAACAGATGCCATTTCAACAGTTATCCTTACTTTGTGAATTTACTTAAATTTTATTTAGGGTGACTGATAATTTTTATATTTTGCACATTACCTATCATAGTACCTGAAGGGCTTGTTGGAAACCTGACTTATGAGTCCATTTCGTCAACCGCAATAAATGTAAGCTGGGGTCCACCATCTCAACCAAATGGTCTAGTCTTCTACTATATTTCTCTGAGCTTACAGCAGACTCCTCGCCACGTAAGACCACCTCTAGTTACGTATGAGACAAGCATGTATTTTGATAATCTGGAAAAATACACTGATTATATATTAAAAATCACTCCATCAACAGAAAAGGGATTCTCTGATACCTATACTGCCCAGCTACACATCAAAACTGAAGAAGATGGTAGGCTGAATCCTTTTATTGCCTATTAAGCAGATTATTGGTGTTCTCGTATTTATATTGCTGTCTGATAGAAAACACTATTCTTATAATTATATAGCTTCTGTTTGTTCTTGAGTAATTAGCCTTTCAATGAACACAGTAAACTCTTAAAATTAAAATAATGATCTGCTGATAAAATGAAGTCCTATTTTTATTAAATCCTCTTCATTTTAATGTTAATTCACTTTTGTTTTATTTAATATTCTTTTTTTCTTTTATAGTCCCAGAAACTTCACCAATAATCAACACTTTTAAAAACCTTTCCTCTACCTCAGTTCTCTTATCATGGGATCCCCCAGTAAAACCAAATGGTGCAATAATAAGTTATGATTTAACTTTACAAGGACCAAATGAAAATTATTCTTTCATTACTTCTGATAACTATATAATATTGGAAGAGCTTTCACCATTTACATTATATAGTTTTTTTGCCGCTGCAAGAACTATTAAAGGACTCGGTCCTTCCAGTATTCTTTTCTTTTACACAGATGAGTCAGGTAAGCCAGAATCCATGTTTCTTCAAATGATTTCACTGTTGCAGCCCTTGCTCTCTCTTTTTAAGGAACCGCATGGATAATGAAAGGATACTTGATTGTCTGTTTGTAACGGGCTTACAACTCTTCATCTACTTGGCTTAACATTTTCTTTCTTTTTTTTTTTAATTCGAACTTCAGAACGAAGTGTTCTGTTTATAGTTACTTTGGAACTACTGAGTTCCAAGTACAAAAACTTAATTACTTATGCTGTTTAGTTCTGAAATTAAAATATGATCATCTTATAAATCTCTCTTAACTAGTGTCTTCAGGAAGCTAGAGTCACAGTGATATGTGTATGTTAAAAAGTTATGAATATAAGTTTTATAATGTGTTTTCCTGCAGTGCCTTTAGCACCTCCTCAAAATTTGACTTTAATCAACTACACTTCAGACTCTGTATGGCTGAAATGGAGCCCCAGTCCTGTTCCAGGCGGTATTGTTAAAGTATATAGTTTTAAAATTCATGAACATGAAACTGATACTGTATTTTATAAGGTAGGTTGACTATAACAGTATATGTTTATTT